TGTATCAAACATTAACGAATTTCAATTTTATTTCAAAATATTTCTTTCTTATCACTTTACCTCCACTTCATCATTATCTTTTCCAATATTAATCATATCAATTGTTCTTTCAATTATCACTAACAATTTATATTTTATTTTGCAATTCCAATTTACATATTTGCATTACTGCTTGAATTTATAATTTAATGGCTTAATTTGCTAATAATTGTTAATGATTTGTTTTTCCAATGAATAAAATAGCCTAATTAGTTATGACAATAATTGAATTCATATGGATTATGAGAATGATGGCCAAAAAGAAAATATTTGTACTAATGTGATTGATAATATTTTGTCACAGTTAATTTTATGGCAAACAATTATTTGATTTGTCTATTTTTTGTTAATTCAATTAATTAGCGATATTAAATATTAAAAGAAAAAACATTAAAAAATCATTCCATTAATTAGCAATATTAAATATAAGTACATTAAATATTAAATATCAATATTAAATATTACAATATTAAATGTCAAAAATACACTTAATAACATTTAATAATTAATATTTAGATATATTTTATGAGAAATCACATGTCATCAAACTGGCAAATATCATTTAAATTTCCGATAAATTCTAATTAATTAATTAATTATTGAAACCATAGATTAGTTGACTGTCTTTCTCTTAATTCATAACAGCAGCTATGAGAAAATAGATTAAATAACATTGAAAAATAGGAATTCAGAATTTGCATATGTGACCTTATGAATTAAACTTTCATTATCACAGAATATATTATTGCAATAAAGCGGTTCATGACAAAGATTAAAACCCATCAAACCATCGTCTATTATCAATTCATTTATTCAAATTAATCATTTAGTAATTTACCTGAATGAAATGAGCCATCGGTAAGTGCACGTTATTACGTCTTTTATAACGTCATTACGTTAGTCGTAATTTTTCTTTCCGTTATTTGTTACGAAAGATATTTCATTCAAAATGAAAGAATAAAATGAATTTTTTTTCAGATTAAAATTTTTGAGATAAATTTAAACTGCAAAATGTGATAGATAAATGGGATGATAAAATGTGATAGTGATAAAGTGATAGCAATAAATATGTGATAGTACAAAGTATTATAAATGAATTTTCATTCATTAAATAAACAAAATTGTAAATAAATAATATCACAAAAGGTAAACAGAAAAGGAATGAAGGATTGGATTTGGAATGAAACTTTATCGAAATACAATAATTTAACCTTTCCTTTCATTTCTATTGAATTAGTCATCACATATGGCCTATTCCATGTTATGTTCAACCTACATTTGTTAATTGTATCACCTGTATCAAACTTTTAATTTGACATTGAAAAGCAATTATGGGCTGTCAAAATTTGTACTGTTGTCATTCTTTTTAAAGGTCAAACATGCGGTCCATTTCATTTTCATGACAATAAATTGTGTTCAAATTTCAAAATTAACAGATGGAGTTCGATCTGCCAGATGTCTTTGTTTGCATACCAGATATTCCGGAAATTTATGTCAGTCCATTCTTTGACGTCAGAATAATCGTACGTAAATTGAATATGATTTAGTAGTGATTTTTAGAAATTTGTTTAATTGCTTACTTCATTCTATTATTTTGGTCAAATAGTGCAAATTTCACATTTGAAAATTTCATTCTAAGACTTAATTTTAAATTCGATTACAATTTCAGCAATAGCCGAAAATATTTCATTGTTCCTTCAAAAATTAATTTTTATAAAAAAAATTTGTTGTCAGTTTTCAGTCTTTCATTATTATTCAATTACTAAGTAACAGTCAAAAATACATTGTAAATTGCAAAAAATGGAAAAACAAAAAAATTTTGGAAATAAAATCAAAAATTTGTCGAAATTTTTAGTAAGTTAAAATGTTAATGCAACTTTTTCAATCAGTCTTTGAAAATCTTTCAAGCATCTACTGACTTTGGATATTTAATTTTCATAAATTTATTTTACACATTTCATTTTATATTTTCACAAACTATAAAGACTATGGAACCGTTCAAAGTTCTTAAATTTCTGACTTAAACCATTGTCCACTTGATTGCCAATCCGGACAGAACCGGTTTTCCTTCCAAGCAATTTGCAATTTATTGAATTTTTTTTCTTTTTTAAAGCAATATGTACATAGCATATATATATATATATATATATATAAATGCATATATAACCGAAAATTGCTCATTGATCATTGATTTTGAGATGGAATGAAGATGAAATAACTGTCATTTTGAAAGAAAAAAAAATTCGCTATTTTTTTTTAAATTTCGATTTTTTTTTTTGCAATTTTTCATTTCTTTTCATTAAAAGGGAAATATTTTATTTGTGCTTAACACATTCAATGCATAATTATGATTTAATCTTAATATCTTAATATTACTTCTACTTTTTTACTTATCATTTAATCACTTTTCTTTGCATTAACATAATAGTGTAATGTGCTTATGTGATAATAAGCTTCATTTGTTTGACTAACAATTGAATTCAAAATTAAATAAGTAATTAATTATTGGTTATTTATTTCCTTTGTAAAGACTAAATATCAAACAAAAAAAAACAGCCAGGGATCATTTTTACTGACAAACATAGCTTTGTTGGAAAAGTCTAAAAAAAAAAAACGACAAAAACACTTAATGAAATCGAAAAACGCCTAATCTGTCATTTAATTTAAGTTATCAATTTCTAATTAAATAATTATAATTGCTTAAATGGTTATTAATGATAATTGTGTTGTAATAAATGAAGTAAACATTTCTATTCGTAGGAAATAAAATGCAAAGAATATCTGTTTGATTATACATACAATTAATGAAATTAGTAGTTAGGACGAATTTTAATTCATAAGATGGTAAATAAGAGTAATTTAATTTCAACAAGTTGTTTTTTTTTTTTCTTTCAAAAAAATTTTTTCCTCATTTTTTTTTTACCCCTAAAATTCTCGTTTCAATTGACGTCAAAAATTTGCCCTTTTAATAAATGTTTAAGTCAAAAGTATTACTGTGTGTATTTGTATGTGTATGTGCATGTGTCTGTCTTTGTCTGTGTACATGTATGCATACATTTTTGTGTGTCACATCCGTGCATGAAAACTTGTCGTGTTTATTTCGTAAATTGCAAATGTCCTTTACGCATATTTTGTTATTTTTATATGAATTAATAAACTTTTTTTTTTTTTTAAAAAAATATTTCCTAGTTTATCATTTTTTTTTTAATTTAAATTAATTTTTCCAATCATAACAATATGACACAAATTGTTGTTTGTGATTCTTTAAGAAAGGAAAAAAAAGGAAAACTTTTTTTTTTTCATTTAAAAAGAGAAAGAAAACAATTTGTTTTCAATTATTTCTACTCATTGAAATGATATTAATTAAAATTTTCCACAAAAATTTTTCCTTTTTCTTTTTTCTTTCTTTAAAATGAATGATTGATTTTATTTTTGATATTAAAATAATGAAACATTGCGACAAATCAATTTCATTCTCTTTTCTTTTTGTTCTATTGGAAGGATTTATTTTTAATGATTTTATTTTTGTCTCAGTTATTTTCATTTCATTTCATTTCTCTCTTTTCTCTGTACATTTCCTTTTTCTTTTTAATTTCATTTTAATAATTACTTGAAAAATATTAGATATTTTTTTTACAACAAATTATTTCAATAATTAAGTGTGATATAAATGTTATCTCTTACTTCACATTTAAAACTAAAAAAAAAAAATGAATTAAATAAAGATTTGTAAATATTATTTACATTAAATTTCATGCATTTAAAATATGAATATTTTTGAAAAAGATATAAATTTAAAAGTTGAAAAAAGCTTTTTTTAATATAATTTTTCTTTTTTTTATAATAACCTTTCAACAGTTTACGTTCAATATATCAAAAAATAAAATATATCAAATGATAAAATTATCGTTACATTTTATTAGCATCTTAGTTAGATTAAGCAGAAGGAAGCACAAGCTTGTATCTTTAACATTGATAAAATATCAACTTTTTAACTTCTCTTCATGAAGCAATTTAATCACAGTATCACAATCACAGATTCTACGTCAAACACAAATCAATAATTATTTTAATCAATAATGATTAAATTAAATGAGATAAGATAATAAAAGTAAAAAAATATCAAAAAAAAAAAACTAAAGAGTGAATTTAATTGGAATCAAACAAACATTTACATATTTCGTATGCATTATTGCACGCATATTTTACAAATGTATAAATGTTCAGATACATTAAAATTGAAATTTTAATATCAAATAATTTAAAATGATTCAATTCCTATTTGTCAATCAATTTTTTCTCATCAACTTATTTACACTTGTACTATTGAATGATACTAATTTATACCTTTTCAATGACACAAAAACTATATGAAACTTATAGATGCAATAATAACAGTAGCTTTTATTGTTATTGTTATTGATATTGTCATTGTAATAATTATTATTGTCACATGTTATAATGTTCATTTCATTTCATTTCTATCAATGATTATAATAATAACAATGATAATAATAATAATAATAATAATAATAATAATAATAATAATAATAATAATAATAATAATAATAATAATAATAATAATAATAATAATAATAATAATAATAATAATAATAATAATAATAATAATAATAATAATAATAATAATAATAATAATAATAATAATAATAATAACTAATAATAATAATAATAATAATAAT